TTAAGAATCAAAATAAACGAGATACATTGGAAATCTGTATCTTTTACAGTGATAGTAGTGTAATGATAGATCCAACTTTTTTCCCTCTTTTTTGGACATTTTTTCAACAGTAGATTTAAAGCTCGAGAATGTGTCCTTCCCCGATTTCTCCGCTCACAAATTTATCACGAATATAATTTGGTATTGTGTACGGATACATATTCTTCTAAATTTGGATAATCGTAGAAGATACATAGCAACACTTGATACATAATAAAATGATACATTTGGTAGAGACTACTTCTTTCCATTTCATAATGTAGTTTCACCAGCAAAAAAGGATCCCCCGGAAACGAATTGTTTGCAAGGAGCAATGTGGATACATCATCGCTTTCACCTTTCCCTTATGCATTTTGTGAAGGTGGAAAGGGAGGAGATCTGATAGTTCTTTGGAAAAAATGTGGAGCAAAGACTAACTTGGGTTCTTCGAAAAAAATTGTGGAGCGATCTTACTGAAAGGAGAGAGAACAAATCTGAAAATTAAAAATGAAGGAAGTAAAGATTGAGGGAGTGAAAATAGGAAGAGATTGAGTGAGTAAAAATAGGAAGAGATTGAGGGAGTGAAAGAAGGAGTAAAAATGGGAAGAGACGTGTACAACTTGATGTATCCGGGAACGATGGGGTTTGGTAGGAAAAAGAGGGATTTTGGAAATATTTTAAAATGGTAGGGAATAATAGAAATTATGAAAAATAAAGGTGTGTATATAGGTAATTTATCCTATTTTTTTAGTAATCACGTTTTTTTTAACAAAAAAAAGAACATAAAGAATTTTTTTTTATGGATCAATTTTTAAATTTAACTTCCATATGATATGTTTAAGACCACAAGATTAAAAAATATTTTGGTGTATATATATCTTTAGTTTAAGATCATAAAAAAATAAAACTTTTTTTTATTAAAAAGAAAGAAATAACTTGAATTTCATATATAAAAAAATAATTAAAATTTAGGCCTCCAACTTATTTTTGGCTTTAGGCCACTAATTAGCTTGAGCCATCACTGTAAAAGTCACAACTCTTCATTAAAGTCGCAGTTTTTTATAAAAGTCGCAACTTTTCATAAAAGTCACATCTTTTCATAAAAGGGAAGACTAGTTGTGGAAATAAATAAATTAAAAAGAAATTCTGATTTGTGGTGGCGCCACGTAGGCGGGACTAAGGTTATTTTAATAGAGAACTATTAATAGAGCTTTTAATGTTTAT